TTCCCACCACGGCATCGACATCCACGACCCAAGACAAGGTACATGCCGCGCCGTCGACGCTCTCGTTCACGCAGACCGAACGTATATTTGCCGCGAAATCCACGACCGAATTGATTCGTGCGTACGCTGTCTTCCAAACCTGTCAGATTCCGTTCCTTGTTCGCAACAGTCAAGCCATGATCAATGCGTCGTACAAAGTTATGGGCAAATCCATCACGGACTGGGCTCTCAAGAAGTCGTTTTTTGGCCACTTTTGCGCTGGTGAAAACGCAAGTGATATTCAACCTGCCCTTAAGCGCTTGGAATCCGCGGGCATCGGCGCTATCCTCGACTATGCTGCCGAAGCCGATGTCGAAGCTGAGAAAAAGACCCAACTGGACGGTGTCAGTTCCAACGATTTGCAGGCCCGTACCTACGACTATGAAGATGAAGCGATGTGCGACGCCAACATGAAAATTGCACTTCAAGCTATCCACGACGCTCCGACTCATGGTATGTTTGTCCACAGTCGTGGGACTTGTGGCTAACAAAGGGCTTGCAGGTTTTACCGCTATCAAGTGTACTGCGATGGGCAAGCCTGAACTTCTCCAGCGCATGTCGAGCATTCTTGTGGAAACCCAACTGCTCTTCCATTCGTTGGATGGCCCAGTGAGCCGCGCCAAGAAGAGCTATGTTGACCGCCTCGTGGACTTTCCGACGTTCAAAACTGGTATCAAGAGCGCTGGTGCGACTTTCTCTGAAGAAGAATTGGACGCTCTCTTCCGGTAGCCTCGTGCATTCATTCGTTTGCTCTTCTTGAAAAGCTCATTTTCCTTCCTTGTAGAGCCCTCGACGTGGAACATGACGGCATGATCGACTACATCGACTGGGTGAGCTACCTCAATCCGATGGACTTGACGATGGGTCCGTTGACGCGATTCCTCAAAGTCGATCCGCTGACCCCCGAAGAAATCAAGCAAGTGAGTCAAATGATGTCGCGCCTTGAGACTTTGGCCGCCGCCGCATCTGCCGCCAAGGTCAAGCTCATGATTGACGCCGAGCAAACGTACATGCAACCCGCGATCGATCACGTCGTGTTGAACCTCCAACGCCGCTACAACACAGAAGGGCGAGATACGATCTACAACACGTTCCAGTGCTACTTGAAGGACTCGAGCGACCGCGTCCTCATCGACCTGGAGCGTGCCGAGCGTGAAAAGTTTCAGTTTGCGTGCAAGCTCGTCCGCGGCGCGTACATGATCCAAGAGCGCAAGCGCGCTTTGGACATGGACTATGCGGACCCGATCCATGCCAACTTGGAGGCGACCCATGCAAACTACAACTCGTTGGTCGAGCTCCTCTTGGTCCGCAACCACCGCACAAGCTTCATGGTGGCGAGCCACAACGAAGAAAGCGTCAAGAAGACGGTCGCGAGTATGGACGCGCTCAAGATCCCGCGCCTCGGCGGCGGAGTCTACTTTGGTCAACTCCTCGGCATGTGCGACCACATCTCGTACACGCTTGGCGCGGAAAAGTACCAAGTGTTCAAGTATGTCCCGTACGGCCCTGTGGACGAAGTTTTGCCGTACTTGATCCGACGAGCCCAGGAGAACTCTGGCATGATGAAGGGCGGTGCGGCCAAAGAACTCGGGCTCCTCTCGACCGAACTCAAGCGACGACTGGGCTTTGCCTAAGGTCCGCATTTCGATCGGACGAGCGATAGCCCCAACACGAATGTTATATTTAATTGCCCGGATTGTGGAGTTTATCCGCCTCCACTCTTCCGACCCCTTGGACGCCTTCCTTGACCCAGCATCCAGTGACCAGCAAGTTCAGCCCGTGATCGATCTCATATCCTGCTGTCTGCTGCCGCCTTCCCAACTTGTTGTGCACTGCACATGCCAGTCGAATCACGTATTCCAGTCGCCCACACCACGCTGTCTTTTCAAATAGCTTTGGCGGCGTTCATCTGCACAACCTGGCGCGAGCCACCCTTTGTCGCGACGGCCACACTGCGACCCATCGGCGCGCGCACATGGAGTCCATTTGCACATGGAGGTTCCATGTTTGGGAGGATGCTGAGGCATCATCATAGCCATCCAGATTTTGCTTGCGCCTGGTCCATGGAGAGGATGACGCGGCGGACTGACGGGAGAACGCGTGACTCTTAATTATTACAACGACGGTGGGGTTCGCATGAGGTCGCCTTCGAGTCCTAAATCCCCGTCAAACGTAAACCCCTGAAACGTGTACGACATGTTTCGAAACGTGTTGCCACGTCCGGCAAATTTGGTGCTGCCGCCGTAAACTCCGCTGTCCTTCGGTTCGGACGACGGGTTTGTCGTGTCGTCGCTCGGCGTGGCGCACTCGTCTTCCATCGCCAAGTGCACCGGCATTTTGGTAAAGTCGTCTTCAAAGTTGACCGCGTCCAACGGGTCGCTAAACTGACACGGCCGGAACGGCGGCTCGACGTCCCGATTCAACAGCGCTTCCCACTCGACCCCAGCAAAAAACGGATGCGACAGCACCTGGGTGGCCCGGAGGCGCTGGGCTGGATCCCGCTCAAGCAGCCCCGCGATCAAGTCCATGGCTTCGACGGACATGCCGGGGGGGAACTCTAACGGGGACGACCGCAGGCGACGATACAACTCTTCGCGCTCGGTTGTGTACCACGGCGGCCGCCCCGTGAGGAGTTCGTACAGCACCATGCCAAGGTTCCACCAGTCGACGGCATTTCCGTGGCCTTTTTTGTTGAGGATCTCGGGTGGCAGGTACTCGGGGGTCCCGCACATCGTGTTGGTGCCTGGAATGGCGTCGTAGTCAGCACACACGGGTGGTTTCGATACACGGCGACGTACCGTCGAGGCGGTTTGAAATCCCTTGTTTCGCCAGGCCAAAGTCGGCCAGTTTGACGTGGCCATCCACATCGAGCATGATGTTTTCGGGCTTCAAATCGCGGTACACAATGCCATGTTCGTGCAAGTGGACAAGGGCGAGGGATATCTCGGCCGCGTAAAACTTGGCCACGGGCTCGGGAAAACAGCCGAACCGACTGAGGTGAAAAAACAAGTCGCCGCCAGGACAGTAGTCGAGGACGAAGTAGAGCTGCGTGTCGGACTGGAACGCGTAGTGCTAATCATGTCGTCACCCGTGGCGTGAGATGGTCACGGACGCCATCCCAACGCTACGTACCAGCCGCACGATGAAAGGATGGTCAATAGAGCCCAGCACGTTCCGTTCGGTGCGTGTGTGCTCCACTTGATCTTTTTGCACGACCGACTGCTTGGACAGGATCTTCATCGCAAACAGCTCGTTCTGGACCTTTTTGCGGACGAGCAGGACCCGGCCAAAGCTGCCTTGGCCGATGAACCGCAGCGGTTCAAAGTCTTTCGTCGACGGTTTATGAACCGGCGCCGCCGGGATGCCGCTGCTTCCATAACACGGCTCAATTTCCCGCGTCGGTATGCCTTTCCGCAGCGTCCCGGTCGAAAGGGACCCACCCGGTCCCATATCGGCATACGACGATGACTTGGATAAAAAATCCAACCCGTGGTCGACGCTGCGGCCTGCCATCCTCTTTTGCTTGGTCGGTTCCGTCTGGTGGAGAAAGAGCGTCGAGTGGCGCGATGCCATCGAGGTGGTTGTGGAGCTGGCTGCGCTACCCGACCGCGTCAGCGACCGGCTGTGCGACGACTGGGGCGGCGTCATTTGAAGCGCGGCGAACAGGGATGACTTGGTGTCGGGGTCGTTGTACGAAAATCCTCGTGTGCCTAGATGCGAGTGTCCATGATGTGCGCCAAGAACGTTGCGAGTGCGGACCTGTTTCGAGAGCAGGGGGCTGGTTGGCCTCTTTGGTCAGGAACATTCGGACGGTGGGCGTCATCGCGGGACTGCACTGCGACGTTCCAGCTGGAATCGCCAGCACGAGTTTGAGCCACGCTTCGAGGTCCCCCTGTCGTTTTCGCAAGAACGCCATGTCGAAGGAGCGGCGAATGCTAAGTTGTCGCGACGGCAGGGATGGGGTCCGGTGGCCCTAATGCGCCACACCAAACCGTTCCATGTGAGATGGCCATGCATGAAGTTCGAGCACGGCACCGCACGCACCTGGCTTTTCAATTGACCCGCCAGTTGCTTGAAGTCGTGGTACCGCCGATAGACTGTCCACCGCTTGTTGTTAGCCAAACACTAGGACGACGCCGTGACAAACTGTCGAGCAGTGGAAGGACCAAAGGATTTGCGTACCTCGACCTCGAGTCGAAACACAACATACGGCCGCGATGATAACGACGACTGTTTGGGATCTTTGGCGCCGCTCGCGAGCGAGTGACCGGAGATTCGAACGAGCTGGCCTTGCTCGCCTGGAGGTATATACACTGTGTCGGGGACCGCTTGCGTCTGGACGGTCGAGTGCTGAAAGTTGAGCATCCACTGTTTTTCGTAGAAGTCTCGCTCTTCGTCGGGTTGGGCGGGCCGCTCGTCTTTGGGCACTATCGTCGGTGTCGACAACCGCGGCGTTGCCGCCACGACACTGACTTCGTTGTCGGTTATGGAGTCGGTGAGGGGCATGCTGCTGCGGTCGCTGTTGAGCGCAGCCGTGCTGCTACGCTCGCTGATGAGCGCGGATCGGGTGCTGTCGGGAGCATACAGGCTTCGTTCGCTTGTGAAGGAGGCGCGGTAGTAGTCCTCGGCAGGGGAATCCACCGACGCCAGGCTCAAGCTCGACATGTGCCGGGTCATGTCACCTAGGATGCCGTTCGGGTCGTGGAGTGGTGGCACGACGTCGTTTCGATAAAAGTCGTCGAGGACTCTGGGCGTGGGTGAGATCCTCCACACACACGTGAATGTGGCACCAACGACGACTTACATTGGTTTCGAGTACAGAATGTGCGAAGTAAACATGTTGGTCGTCGCATGCTTCCCGACGGGCGGGTCGCTCTGGGCCGGAACACTCGTCGACGCTTTGCGCTTGGAATGACTAGGCCATGGCATCGCTCATGTTATCAACTGACTCACGTGGGTGGTGCTGCGCACATACCTATGCATCGTCATGTGTCTGCGCCACCTTCGGCGGTGTCTACAGTAGTGGGAGCCTTGGCCCGGCAAGTAACGGAGAACAGGCGCGGACGCTGGGATGAAACGCCATGCCCAAGCACGTAAAAACAGCCAGTCGACGTCATGTAAGCCGTGGTATTGGAAAAATATAGGCATCGTGAAACGTGGCCAATACATTATACTTAGACGCACACCGACTCCATCTGCTTGGAAATTTCAATTCTCGTGACGTACCTCTTCAGCTGTCTGAGCCTAGACACTCGGCACGAGAAGTTGAAGACGCCCGTTGACACTTTCCCGTCCGCTGGCGCGGCACTCGCGGCGGACAAGACAGCGCCGTCCAACGACGAGATCGGTGGCACGACTCGTTGCCCACCTCTCGGGATACGAGGGGAGACTTTCGTCGATGGTCGTAGTGCACTGTATGACGAGGTAATGCCGACGGTAGTAGCTTGGGACTCAGACGGAGGGAGGGACATGCCACTTTCGTTGGCGAGCGCGACTGCGGCAACGAGACAACCCAGTCGCGACCGTGGGCGGGCGGACGCATCGGGCAGTCGCACGGTAGGGTCCTGCGTCGTGAGGTTTGCGCGCCGCGCCTTTTGCTAGCACCCGGCACGGCGAGGACCACGGTCTACGGTGTGTGGGTCCGCACTATTTTGAACTCGATCCATGTTACACGCGGCAGGTGTAACACGCTGACGTGAACACTCGGCATGGAAATCAAAAGCGCCCCGCCCTTCCTTCGCCTCCTCCCGGCGCCTGGATTTTCCAAATTGTTGAAAAAGGTGGTGTTGTGTGCCGGCACAACGCGGTGGGCTGGCATGGAGACCTGCTTTGCTCTGCACCTCGTTCCTCGTCGCAGCCTCGCCTGGGTGATGCCGTCATCGAGAGACATGTCGACTTTCGCAAGTGTGAGAATTTTACGTACTTTTTTCAAAAATGCACCCCAACTCCCCGAAAATGTCGAAAATATTCCCATTTTGGACAGATCCTTTGTCCGACGCCACGGCACGACGGAGGGGATGTCTCTCCCACTTAGTCGCGGCGCTGCCCACAGGAGCTAGACGTGCCTGTGTACGCTATGGGTCGGCGTCCCAGCATCGTTGACAAGTTTACTGAATTGTGCTCGCCATACAACGCACACAACTCACTTGACTCGATGGCATGAGGTTGTTCCACAAGGTGCCCCAACCACGGCAACCACCACGATCTCTCGATGCAATACGTGTGCCGATGGAGGCTAGTGTCGATTTCATCGATTGCATCGGGAGCTCGGGCCAACGAGCGTCCGCGCGACAAGTGTGAGGGAGAGGCAGACCAAGTCGATGCGTGCATTGAATCGATGTTACTCTTTGTTGCGTTGGTTCAAGAAGGACTCGGACTCTTCCGGTGCGAGGGTGATGTCTTGGATCGAATGAGCGCTCTTGTGGCCTTCTTCCATGTGCCGGTCAGAGTTGGCCTTGTCGGACACGATCGCTGGGGGCGGCGCCGCGAAATGGAAGCGCGAGTCGCCGTACACAAAGACGGATATCACGACGAGAGCTCCGCCAAAGTAAAACAACGGCGGCGACGTCGTGTGGAATAAGTAGTTGGCCAGCAAACTGCTCAACACGAGCGACAGTGCAGTCCCGAAATTCTTGACCACGTTGTCCGAGTACCGGACGACGGCAGCGATGATCAGGCCGCCGCACGCTTGGAGCCCAATCACGCCGTACGTAAAGTGGTTGTATCCATCGAAGAACGAAAACGTGGGGGTCGTGAGCCCCGAGTGGGCAACGCCGACGCCGGTGGCGGCCACGGAAATGACGGCCAGTTGGATGTTGGTCTTCCACAGTGGATCGATCGGATTCGGAAACGTCTGGTGGGGCTTGTGGGTTTTCAGCACCATTTCGAGGTAAGCGGCCGCGATCCCCGAGTTGAGCGCGAGGCCAAGGACCATTGCAATGCCAATGAAGCTGCTCGATGCAGCTTTGTCCGAGTTTGACGACGACGTAGGGCGTGCCGTGGAGCAAATCGCGACACCGACCATGAGCGCGACCATGGCGATCCACTGGACAAGGTTAAAGGATCGCTTAAGGAGAAGTACCATGAAGAACGCGGTCGTGACGATCTTGAGCTGGTACACGACGTTGTACGTGGCGACGTCAATGTAGTCGTACGAGAGCAGCGCGACGGTGTTTTGGCCAGCATACAAGAGAGCGAGAAAGATCATCTTCTTGAATCCTTCGCGGTCCCCAAACACTTCACGGCGGACGCTTGCGATGCACTCGCCGACGCTTCCCTTGGTCACAGTGACGGCGAGCATGCACAGAACAAACTTCAATGCCTCAATCAGCATGACCGCAGACGTGGCATTGTACTTTGAGCCCCGAGAGTACTTGGTCACGATGCCGAGGAGGGTGTTCTGCAGCACCAGCAGCACGAACGATACCACCTTCAGGTCCATCTCGGATGACTCGGCCAAGCGGGATGGAGGAGACAGCAAACGTTTCTGAACTCTCGACGAGTTCGTGATATAGAGAATCACTTATCAAATTCGTGATGAAGCATTTTTCATTTATCGGTTTACATGCATATTTTAAAAACATTGCTGCTGAGTAAATGAATTTCCACAATTGTAACTCCGGGGTGAATCCATCATTTTCATGCCAATGCGCCAATCACCACCCTCCACCGTGCAATCGGCGGACACAAGAAGATAAACAAGGATTCATTTATTATTCATGAGCCCATAGTGCAACCGACGATGACGGTTTCAAGGGTGCCAATGCGAGGAACAGACGCAGCCCGCGGCGACCTCGCGCGGGTCGTCAAGCCAACGCAAGCACTTCGACTCATTCTCGATGCAGTGTCTATACTTCTCCAATCGGTTGGTGGGTATGCATTCAGCACTGGCCGTTCACGCTCGACATAGGATGCGCCTGGAGGCAGCGCGCTCACGTCCTCTCAAGTGATCGACCTCCTCCTCCATGCTGGCGATGAGACTCTGTCATCTTTGCATTCGTACGACACTTCAAAGATTTCTGCCAACGTCCACGACAAATTATGTGCTTTGTTGCACCACGAGCAGTTCGATGCAGCGTCAGCCTCGTTGGAAGCTGGTCCCGTGGTCGACGACATCTGCGCTTCCCTAGCAGCGATTGAAGAGCGCTTAATCCACGGTACAAAGTCCTTTACGCTCCTTTTCGCGTGAATCACGTTGTGTAGAGCACATGGAACAGAAGCGCACGCTCCCGACAACGTCATTCTGCATTTGTGTCGACGGCAGTCGTGCGTTCGATTCATCATTGTAGGTCACACAAGTGACCTAGCCATTCGAGTAGGAATCGCCCGCCTGGCATGCGAGGTGGGCGTGTCGCTGCGCCGTCAAGGTGTGGTGCATGTATGCTGCATCGACGAATTCTCCACGGAATCGCGCTACGCACCAGAGTTCATTACGTCAGGTTCGCCAGACCTCTCTTTCCACACTGACCTCGGCATCTCCAACGAGTAGACTTCACCGCGCTGTGCCAGCAGCAAGGCGTTCCCGGGACCAAACTTGTCGTCCGGGCGCAATCACAACGCCTGACGCAATCCACCATCACGTCGCAGCTCCTGGAGCTTCGAGAGTCGTGCCAAGCTGACTTTTTGGTCGTGGGGGCAGTCGGGACCAAGGGTCCACAGCCAGCTCAACTCGGTAAAGTTCCATCGATGTTCTGTCCTTGATCCGTGTTGCAGGAAGCAACACGATGCGCGCCATCCGAGGCAGCCCCGTTCCCGTCATCGTCGTCCCCCCCGTTCCCTCGTCGTATCCAACATCATCGCACGCTCCTCGAGTCTTTGTCGTCGCCATGGACAACGCGCCCATCTCGTCCACGTGCTTTGCGACGACCCTCAAGCTCCTAAAGCCACACGACCGCCTCCATATCGTACATGTCGAGATTCCGCCGCACCCTCTCGCGGTCGAGTCGTCCGACCAATTCGCTGCGACTTTGGCACCGCTGTACACGGCCAAGCTCGCAGCGGCCGAGGTTGCGCCCCATCCCTTCTTATTCTTGATGGATCACGTCGACTAGGTGGTCGGCGTGGTGGACGTCGTCTCGCACTCCCCCGGCGCCACGGTCGCCGAGCAAGTTCAAGAGTACTTGGCACACGCGCGCGCTCAGTTTGTCGTGTTTGGCTTGACAGGAGAGACTCGACTCGCCCGAAGAGCGTCGGCCACCTATCTCCCTACCAACGGGAGTGAGCCAGTGGCTCCCGCGGCGACCAGCTCGACGGGCGTTCCAGTTGGTCGCGTCGCATCCAGCCTCCTCCTGTCGCCGCGTTGCGTGCTAGTCGTTTGTAAAGAATAGTAGGAAAGCGAGTCATTTGTAATCGGCCTTGCCCAGGTGCCTCCTTGCGATATCTTTGTTGAGATCTCGTTGCCTTCAACTGAGTGAGTGTGCAGCCTTGTCCACGGGCAAGTGACCGATGGCTTGAACTAACCAACGGTGTGCATGGTGTGTGGTCTTCCCGCAGGACGCGACATCGCTTGCTGACCAAGCGCCCGCTGCTCATATCCACGACGATGGTATTGCACATGCACGGACCATTTTCAATCGAAGGAGTGTAGCTGTTATGCTCATCGAACAGGAGTGCATCAGCTCTCCCTGGCAATCATGAACGACTCGTTGTGTTCAGCATAACTTTTCTCGTCGTTGGGTACACAACGGGGTCGTCTATGGCGCCACCCGTCGACTTGCCAGGAGCCGCTGCTGCGTGTAGTTCCAGAGCAAGATGGCGCCGCTCACATGGACGTTGAGCGACCGAATGACGCCCATCTGGGGAATTTCAACACACAAATCGACGGCTTGGAGAATGTCGACAGGGATCCCTTCCTTTTCGTTGCCTAGCACGATGACGCACCGTTCAGGAAAGGCAAACGTTGACAGGCACGCGCTGCTGCTTGTTTGCTCGAGGGCCACGATCGTGTACCCGACTTGCTTCATGCGGCGCAAGTACGGTCGCACCTACGAATCGTCATCACACAAGAGTGAATTGCGATTGAGTTGTACATTTGCCGGCGGCACTTCCTCCATGTCGACCCACTTGTTGGCCGTGACACTGATCTGACGAAACAATATGTCCTGCGTCATGCTTGCACTGGGAATCAAGAGCTTGGACGCATTGAAGATCTCGCACGTCCGGGCGAGCCCCGCCACGTTCGGGATCTTGTCAATGAGGCTCGCACACACAATGACCTAGAACAGCACGCAACAAGCCGTCCGTGAGCAGTGCCTTCCCGACGATTCGTAGTCATGGTGGCTCAACAAGTCAACTGTTGAGCCAGAATTAGCGGGACTGGCACGACTCGTCTCGTACCGGTTGGTGGCGCTGGCGCCTCGCGTTGACTTGCTGGTCGCGCAGCGTTTCGGCCTGGGTTTGTGCCAGTAATTCGTCCAAAAATGCCGTTGCGTTCGGGTCAATCTTTCGTTGGACAATTTGGTCATGGGAAACGGAAGCGTCGTTGGTTCCTGCGGCCGTCGGCAGCGCCACGTCATCTTGCGACGAGGTCACTGACGGAAATAATTGAAGACTCCCCGCGACGGTGGACTGGTACTGTCCCCCGTGGTGGCGATCTTCCTTGAGGAACTGGGCAAACGACGCCGACAGACTCTCCTTGATCTGTTCCACGATCGACACTGGCACAATTTCGTCAAACTCGTTCAGCGTGCCGCCGAGCAGACCAGCCAGCGTGCACTCTTTCTACTCCCGCCACATCCATTCGTCATGCCTCCATGGTCGAACTGAAACTCGTACTACCTCGGGCTGAAACGATGCCATTTGGTCGGTCTGTCGGCGAAACATACGCTTGCACTCTTTGTTGGTGCTCAAGTATCGAAGCGTGGGCTGGAGGAATGCCACTCTGGACGCAGTCGCTTCGTGGGACAAAAAGTATGGCAACAGCGTCAGTGCCACGAACTGGACAATCGTCCGAGTGTGGCCGTGAGTCGAGTTAAGCCAAGGCACCATGAGCAAGAGCGTATCCAAGTGGAGTTGGGGCGTGTCGTCCACCGGCAAGAGTCGCAGAGACACCGACGCCACCTACACGCCCCCCCGTTCCGATTTGTCAGTACAATTTCCCGCTTCGTGGAAGAACGACAAAGGGGGTTTGAATCCCATGAACCCATGTCCACGATGGCGCAGCAACGTACCAACAGCAACGACGCTGACAATTGCGGCATTAAGTGGACATTACCGAGCAGCTTTTGCACATGCGGAAACGACGATGTTGGGAACGCGACGGCAACGCGCATCGCAAAGAGCTCGATAAAGTACCGAATCTGAGGCAAGTTGTGGTTCAAGAACGATTTGTGCCAGAACAAATCGTGAATGGCGTCGACTGTGTGTGGTTGGATATAGCGGCTGAGGACGCACAGCGCTTGCCAGCTGCGTAGTTGCCGTCCAAATCCTTTGACAAAGTCATAGCTATGCATGGAACGCATCGAGGAATACCTTCGCTGTTGACCATCTGTGGCGTTTGATACTCGGGTTTGAGCTGCAGCTCCAACAAAGCGATCGTGAGCTTCTCCAACAGGCCGTGGCACGCGACCGGGGCATCTTCCAAAAACGCGAGAACAACAAACCGCACGTATCGTTCCTTGAGTGCGACAGCCGCAGAGTCTGCTTTCAAATATACCATCCTGTCCAGTTGGTCCGTCAATGGGTACGTTTATGCCGAGTGCACCATCGACATACTGTTCTTTGGCGTCGACCGTGGGCTCTTTGTACAGGAGCAGTGCGACGATCTCGTCCACGTACGGTTCCGCGCTCTTGGGACACCTTCACAATCCACCCTCAGTGTTCCTGGTAAGAGCGGCGTCGTCGTACCGGCGCCACAAATTGCACAGCGTCGTGGCCACGTGATACAACACGTTCGGTCGCCGACCTCCTTCGCCAAACTTGGTCCATTTACGAAACCACGACTTGAGCGTCTACTCGACAAACGCGGATGAATGGGTGCGCGGGGAAACTGGCAGTCCACGTACATCAACTAGGGGCATCAAACGCGGCTGAAACACACACTGGATCACAGCCAGCGTCAACGAGTTGGGCTTGCGTGAATCCGAGTAGGCAGCCCACACTTGAGAATATACGTCGTCCAAGTGGATTTGTTTGTCCTACGAGGCAGCACAAAACACGTCAAGGTGAACACAGTCAGCGTCAAATCAGGTGCCACACGTCCATGGCGCGGCGAACCTCGTCCGTGGGCAAGTTGAACACAGTGTACGGAAGGACCACGCGAATTACGTGCACCATGTGCTGCAGCACCAACGGGTCGTTCCCGGCCGTTGGAAGTGCTTCAAGAACCGAGTCGAGAAGTGTCTGGAGCAATGGGGGTGGCAACGCCCAGCATGTTGACAGGACTGACGACAACACCGTGTACTTGGCTAGGACAAACTGTTGCGTGGACGTCGTTCGCGTGGGGTGGTTGTGGTTCGCTGGTTTGCCAGGCGAGAGTTGGAGAAGGTGCGGGACTAGCACTTGCGGGTCAAATACCGACAGCGAGTCCATGAGGAACGGTGCCTCTGTCGCGATCAATTCCAGGCACTGGATGGCAAATCTTGCTTCATGCTGGGAGACAATGTCGACCGAAGCGAGGAGGGTGGCAAGGGTTTCGTTGAGAGCGTGTCCTGCGGTGCAGTCTCCTTGAGTTTGCATGGCGTACAATGCCATGTGGGTCACGACGTATGCCATCGCAAGCTGATCCGGCAAGTCGTCGGCGTGCATGGCAGGAGTCGAGTTGGGTGAACAAGATGGAAAGGCTAGGGCTAACCCCTCGGCAAAATATGTAGCTGGAAGGAGGGCGGTGATGGCGTCCTTTTCCCCGATAGTTGGAAGTTCACGGTGTAGCTGCTGGTAAAATTGGCACACATGCGCCTTCAATGGCGTCGACGACAACATAGGCGCCAGGGCTTCTTGCGTCGACAGCGGCGAGCATAGCACAAGACGCGTGAGAGCGGCTGTGCTTAGTGTTGGCGCTGAAGTTGCGTCAAAGTACGACGTGAGGGCGTCTTGCACCATAGGTTGGATTGGCGCGAGGTAGCTGGTAAACTCTTTGCGATGGACGTGAATGTGATCGACGGGGAAGAGCAACAGATACCGCGCCAGGACGTCCAGCGGCAAGGACTCGGGCGGAACAGTGAATGCAAACAGAATTCGTTCCAAGACGGGGACGAGCACCTTCATGATTTTTGGAAACGACTGCAAGACATGTGCATGAACAATGTAGCGGAGGACGCGGAGTCCCTCTGCGTCCAGAAGATGGCAAGACAGTGGCTCGAGGTCGCCAAACACAGATAGCATGGCCAACAACGCGTCCGGTGAGTTGCCACGGGTCGAGTCTCCGAAAATGGCGGCCTGGATAGCGTGCAGGTACGTCAGCAGCGACATACCATTGTTTCCATCGGCAGTGGCGAGCTACAGGCCAACACATAACGGTCGTTAAGTGCATGCGACTCATTGGGGGTGTCATTGGAGTGTACTTGAAGGAATCGAGAGCAAAAGATGATGGTGGTCACCCGGACTTGATACTTTTCGTGTTTGAACAGGAACGGGTCGTTCAGAGCAGGAAAAAGCGCTGTCAAGACGAACGGGATGACGTCGGGGTGGATGGCCATCGCCGTCGCCTTCTTCTGCCATGTCGACACGGCAACGGCCATAAAGTCGACCAGGGTAATGCGGCGCACGACAGGGTTGTCGTGGTGCCAGCAGCGTTGGACAATGCCTTGAAACCAGTCAAACTGTAGCGGTGCCGTGAAGAGGCAACAAGCTTCATGCTTATCAGTCGATGAAGCCATGACTGTCGTGAGCTCGATGAGGGACGCAATGCTAGACCAGACTTGTTCGAGTAGATGTTGTTCATGATGGAAATGCACGATTTCAAACGCATGGATAAACGTCCCCCACGACGCATGGACTAGGGATGGGTCGCCTCTGGCCAACGCAGAACGCAGCAAATGGAGCGCCATCTTGCGAACGACTGTCTCCGAATGCTGGAGGCCGACGCGGACGATCGCATGGAACGGTGACGCAGTGTGGAGGTCAGGTCCATGGGGAAAGAGTTCGCAAAGCATCAGCAATGAGTCCTGCAGCGTTGACTGCTGCCACGAGCGCAAGATATACGTGGACAAGGATGACGCAATGGCAGCATCGAACTTGATCAACTGCGGCACGACTGACCCAAGAATTGCTTGACGGAAGCTCTAAAGTCGAGTGAGGATTCGTGAAGTCGGAGGCATGAAGATGTCGAACCGTCAAGTCAGGTGACGTGATGATGGAAGTGCAGAACTCAGTCATATGTTCGATGAACGAAGGTGACACAACGTGGTGTTGGAAAAGGAACTCCACCACATACCCCAACCACGTGGGGTCGGCGAGCGCGGTTGCATCATGCTGCTGCGAAGCTGACAGTACTGCGCGGGCAAATTCGTCGACGATTTTTGTTCGCAGAGTCTCCCACCACGCGGTATTTGTCGAAGGTATCAACTCCAACGCGTGCAGAAGAAGTTGTAGCGTGTCGTTTGCAAGAGCACGCGCGGTCGTAGGTTGAAGCAAGAGTGGAAAGCACACGTTGAAGACCATGTCGTAGATGGGCTGGGTCACGTCGTCTACTCTGTCTCGAGCTATGTCCAAGCATTGCTTCACAAGGGCAAGCGATAATCGCGCAAACGACACTTCGTCCATGTTCATGGGGTTTTCGTCAAGATGGAGCAGTGTTGAGATCACTGTGCCCGTCTTACACAGAGTGACAACATCATCTGACACGGTTGTGAGTAGACGGTGTGCGCCTCAAGAGTTGCAGCCTACCAACATCAATGGACGAAACAAGGCCCAGCGCAAGAAGATCGTATTCGTCGGAAGAGGAAATGCCCCGCCGCAAGCACACAGCATGCGCCGCCTTCACCTTTGCCGCCCACTCTTCGCGGTTTGAAGTTGGCATGTTGATTGCTCTTCAAGTGAAAATGGCTGGTACGTTGAATCATCCGGAAAAGCACTTCCAGGTATCCGAAAATCTATGGATTATCCGGACGAATCCAAAGCGATGCGCGGGGCGGTGTTGGCTGAGGAAAACGTGCCGGCGATTTGGACGGATGGCAGCAGTCTGAAGGCTTAAGATAGAGTTAGATTAGGATTACCGGTGCAGCACACGAGAATTGTCTGAGAGAGACATGTGCTGCGGCGTGCTCGTCTCAATTGGTGTCAATACTTCAGTAGTTTGCCCTTCTTGTCCGGGCTGCTTAGACCGTCCTTGGTGCATTTCGAGCAAGGGGGGTGAATGCACGCTTCCAACGAATCGCCGCACATTTCGCCGTTTGTATGCGACGTATATCATTCCCATCACGAGCAAGGCAAACATGACGATGGCAACATAAACGGCCGCCCACGGCTGGCATCCCCTCGCGTCGTCGCACGTGTTGATGGTGCCTTGGCGCTTCGACCAATCTGAAGTCCCGTTTATCGTGTTTGATGGCCAATCGTCATTGTGCTTGTCGTTTGCTGGGGGCTGCGGGTTTCCCTGTGTTTGTGTTGGAATCGGTGGCACTGTCGTGGGAAGAATCGTGGTGGTGGCATTGACGATCCTTTGTTCGGGTGCGTCTGTCGTTGTAGCATTTGTTGGCGCTGCGGTGTCTTGTGCGTGCACGGGCCGACCGATGCATGCGTAGAGCAAAACGCCAACCACGGCAACTCGTCGGAGCTTCATCGCTGTCGAAGCACTTCTGACAACCACGGCATGGAGTTGGAGCACGGGACGATCCCACGTGTGTTGGTTCTCGCGCTGGCCATAAAAACAATTCAATTTATCAACAAGGTATTTGTATGGAATAAAATTTAGATTTGTTCCACAGCTCCATTTGCTGTCGGCAGCTCAACGCGTACGACGTGTTTAAACAAGCATCGAGTCGGGACAACTTCCAGCTTTAGAATTCGTTTCCATGTTGTTTTTATTCGAAAAACGTGTATAAACGTACGCGTTATTTTGTTGATCTCGGATATGGGTTCAGAAACGAACTCCCCGAACAGATCGAACGAACGCTGCGGGTGCGGCGCGCTGTCATGCAGATGGCGTTATGGAAGTTGGGGTGCGCGCCCCAGAGCACGAGCCTTGATGACAACGACGTCGACCACAGGCTACGTGAGTGATCTCCGTCAGCTATGCTTCGGTCGTTGTGGAGGTAGGTGCCAACTTCAGAAATTGAACGAATTGCCACGGTTGGGCTGCGTGCGCTGAGCGCAAACGCATCGTACAGATGCCCTGACCCAACTCAAAATGCTTGCAGAGGGCTCAATCGAACTGGTCGGGGGCGGTGTGCACATTTTGGGAAGGGGAGTCATGCATAGGGAAGCGCACAACAGGACTCGTGTACTCGAGCTTTGTTGGGGCATGAGTTTATGTGAGGGGGGTACTGTCGGCGAGTATTTCTGCGGCTCATTACCACACTGGATGCATAACCATCAGCACGTGATCGAACCACACAGAATGAGGTTATGTGGGTAGGACATAATGAGACAGGGCCACGTTAACGCCACTTAAACGAAGTGCGGGCCGTAGCACTCATGCATGCACGCTCTGCAGTAGCGTCGACAGTCCCAGGAGTCATGGAAGAGCCCGACGACCGCCGCCGAGATACCACATGTTGGACAACAGTCCACCGGAGTTGAGGGAGGCTCGTGCCATGGGCCATGATGATCTGGCATTTGACTCTGGGGAGAGTAAAGCATTGGGCCCTCAGGGACTTGCGGCATTGGACGCAGTCGCCGCACTAGCCACCCACCTGTACAGCATGCAACCGCGAGAACTCCAGCGACAATCAAAACAGCAACAGGCATGCGAAGGGGGCTGGGCATTATGCGGGGAAACGAGGTAGCAGTGGGAGATAAAGGGAAGGGGGCTCGGATTGTGTTGTTTGTTTCCTCACACGACGAGATGGGTTTGGCTCGCCTCTCGTGTGGTGGACAGCAAGTCGCAGGCATCGAAATGTTGCTCAAACGTGGGAGACATGCCATGACTGCAGCACCTGGAAGCGCTCCGCAATATGACCCGTTGAGAAGAGAGGGTTGCGGACCTGGGGAGGCTCTGTTCAATCTGGGGTTGAACAAGGTGCTGTTCGTCGCGAAGACACCAGGGACTCCCTCGAAACTGACGTAAGCCGCGGCAACAATGGCGCACTGACGTGCCAGTGCCACCCACCTTGCTTGCGCATGCATGAAGTGCACAGTCCGATGGAGGTACATCCGCTTGAATTGCCAGGTCGCCGCCGCCACTTCCACCGCTTCTACACGCTGTCGTCGAATCCCCTTCAATTGCACACTTTATACTGTCTCACCATTGCTCAAAAGTTGGTGATATATTGTGTGTTCCGGATACAGTTTGCATGGCTCAAAGCGCCGCCGTCAGACTCGCCGCCGCCGCTCCGCCATCCATGTTGCGCTCGTCGATGCAATCAACCTTCCGCGCATTCTCCAGTGAGCCCAACATGTCATATTAACAACGCCTGATGAACTCGACTAGCTCGAGCATCCCAGGCGCGTACCTTCCCTCAGTTCACTGTGTATGGCAGCGACGCCTTGCTCCAATTGTCGCCGATTGCACCAGTCTACACGAATGCCGGATCATACCTGAAGCTGAAACGAGGGGTATGTACTCTTCCACTAGGTTGTTCCAACTGCATGGATTGCATGATCGCAGGGCTCGCTCATGTTGACGTGGTGCAAGAAGACTTCGAGCGGCTACAACTACCAGGAGAAATTCGTGAGTTGTCTTTTCCATGGGGTGGGTGTTTTGACATTATGTGCGTATGCTATAGTACTTCGCGCTCACTCCGACGGAGATCGGCGCGCTCTTGAACTCGCTGGATGACCGCGCGCCTCGGGTCGTACTCGCCATGACGTAGTGCAACGTTATATTGACATCCCTTCTAGTTCTCCCTCGTCCACTCCCCAAACGCCAACGCGGTACCTTCGGTACCCGTGACCAGAGTCCCTTCAACCGCGCGCTAACCCCGGCAAGTGTAGACTGGCGACACTGCGACCAAGGTCCTTGCAGTGGAATACCAGCCTGAACACCTCAAAACCGTGTTCGAATACGGCAGCAGCAACGATCGCGCCGCCGTCGCTTTGTCCTCTGGCGAAGTGCGCGTATTCAAAGAACTCCTCCAGTACTCGATTCCGTACTTGTACGGGTTCCACTCGACGCTCGCGAATGCCGACCCGTAATGCGCACACATGTCCAAACAGTCGACATGATAGTTCCTGATGGGTTTATGCGTAGTGCCATCGAGTACGACGGCAACGGAGCGGCATCATTCACTGGCAACTCGTCGACGTCTCGGCAACCTGCGTACAAGCCGCGCACTGGTGGAAGCGGAGGGGCTGATTGGCCCTTTTAACATCTCGAGGTCGCAACGTGCCAGGCCGACTCGGTCGGTTGCGGAACGTGTTCTAAAGCAAGACCGTTTGATTTTTCGTTGTCATGGTTGCATTCCTCAAGGCATCGCGGATACACGCCCGCGGACGGTATGCGCCGTGGGCATTTCAATGGTGTATGCGTGGGATGGCGCGGAACTCGACAAGGGACCTGGCAGTCCCGACAAGTGGGCATCCATGATGTTGTGGCGTATTATAGGGCAATGTCATTTCAACACGCGGCGATGGTCAAGCACCGCATGTGTACCAACCGATCCATGCCCAGCATGCCGTTTGCATTCGTGCCGCACCTTCGGGTTAGCATCCACGAGCCCGATGGATCCGCCGGCCATCCTCGCAAGAATTATGGGCAAAAGATCAGTATAAAATACATGAGGAAATTCATTTTGACAGGTAATTCGTCCATAGGGCCATCTTGTCGAACTCTGCCTTGACTCCCGTCAGGACGCAGCTGCGGCATTGTCACGGCACGACGGGAGATTCAAGCTGTATGGTGCTGGACAATGACCTGGCAAGTGGCAGCACCTTAGTGGGTCGCTTGACCCTCTCGTTGGGGATTTCTTGAAGTAGTAGCATGGATGAGAAGCGCAGCGGCGAATTCTGCGACATGCAACCTCTAAAACTCGATATTCCCCCACTCGAGTACACAAAGGAGGTCTCCATCGCGCGTCTTCCAGCCATGCTTGGCACCTCTCCCAGTTCTCGTGACTTCCATTCGTTCGTCATATTGTCATGCTAGTGTGTGTGGAAGGCTTGACATAGCATCGTGTGCCGGCTGCCGCTGTCGCAGCCAAAGCGTTGGCAGAGCATAACCGAGCGGTGAATTCACGCCCCAATTGGAGTTTCAACCGCCGCGAACGCGTTAAAGCCACTTGTTCCGCGGTTGGTCGTGCGTCAAAATAGCACGTTAAACCCACGTTTAACATTTTGTCGCATTAAAACGCCATTGTACCTCGCGATAGCGTGGCGACACTTGGGCACTCGACGGGTCCACAGACCCAAACGTAGAGGGACAGGCGAGGAAGACTAGTGAACAAGCCGCATGCAGCTCATCGTGGACGTGCCATTCCTAGCCGACGGCGAGGTCAACATGGTCTGGGACCTCAAACACACCATCTTCCTTGCAATCATTGTGTACCTGTGCAGCGGCTTCGTGATGACAACCCTCGTGTGGGCTGTCACGCTTCTTCTCGCTCTTGTCGGGTATTGGCTCTTTGTGCGGAGCGGCGACTGCGTGCTGGAAGACGATGATGCAGCATCAGGATCGACGAAGGATCGTGCAACGCTTCCCGACGATGCAATTGTCGTCGCCGGCGGTACGGGCAAAATCGTGGGAACGACCTCCGGCCATGGCGGGAACCCCAAACGCTTGTTCTACTCGCTGAGCATCGTACCAACCGCAGGATTGCCGTGGACCATCGAACGTAGCTACAAAGAGTTTCGAGCGCTGTACCATGCCCTGTATGTTGCAGACACCCACAACTGCCGACGCAATGTGTCGTTGCTGACCAACCAGTCGAACAACGATCACGGGCGTCACTTGCCAACGCCGCCGCCATTTCCCAAACGCGCGGCCTTCCGAGCGTTCGTCAATCAAGCAAAACGCACCGAGGGGCTCGCAGCGTTCCTGCAGTTCCTGGTGCAGGACGACCAGTTGGCAACGAATCCGCTCGTTGTCGAGTTTCTCGGCGCCCACTCGCCGCTAAAACGCGTCCAGAAACCTGAACCAGCGTTGCCATCGGTGCCATGGATTAGTCCTCTGCACACGGAGGCGGAAGACGAGGCGCTGACGGCACTGACGCCCGAGGAACGGTCCATAGTTGACGATGTCCATGCAGATGCAATCGCGCTCCACGATGCCCTCCTGGCTCGTCGGATTGTCCTCCTGAGGTACTGCATGCGAACGTCGACCACGTGCCCCCATGACGCCGTCAAACTCCGCTGTTGCATGCCGTGCTAGATACATCTCGAACCAAGCGTGGGAAGTTGAAGCGGCCAAAGCACGAGTTCACCGCGCTGTCGAGTACGTTGACGGGCCGAGTTGTTGATTGTCATGCACGCCCTTTGAATGGCATTGGCGATGGATCGATTCTACCCGCGTCCTGTGGCACGGTGTGGCGGGGGCTGGTTTCGTTCACAGCTTCGCGCGCACGACAGAGCCTGATCGCGTGTGTTGTAGATGGCGCCAAGCGTCGTTGCCGTCGTTTGACCGGGCGGTGCTGCGAAACGAACTGCACACGGGTAAAATGTACCTGGCCGACTTTTGGGACTCCAACTTGAATGCAATCGTCATCGTGCGACTGCATTTGGAGAATTCGTTTCCGCAAGCCAACTATCTCGTGAATGCCATGTATACGATGGGTGGGGCCGTTCGCCATGACTGCCATGGACGTGATCGAAGCAACTTTGTAGAGCGCGCTCTCCTGCACTGCTCGCCCGTGCACCGCGTCACGATCGTGATCGATTTTTCCCAGTGGCAGTTCAAGCACGGCCCAGAACAAGGCATCTTTTTCAAGTTTGTCAAGATGATGGAGGCACAGTACTTGCTCCACGTCGACCGCGTCGTCCTCTTCGACTTGCCGTGGTACATGACGCAAGGTTTCAACGTGATGAAGCCGTTCTTCGACCCGGTCACTCGTACGTCGTGACGTTTCATGGCGATGGTGGATTTCACGGCGCGTGGGGGAGTAGGCAGCAAGTTCGTGATGGCCAAGTCGACGGACCTGGCGCCCATCGAGACAGTGGTCGACACAGCCCGACTACTGCAGCACGTTGGTGTCGGCGCGACCTTTCCTTTTGACGTGGACACGTATTTGAGCTCTGTCCATGTTTCAGCGAAATCGCCGCCCCAGTGAAACCCAATGGAATCCCATCGATCGATTCAAGATGGCGGGCCGTCGCCATGAGGATAGGTCGCATGAAAAGGGTGTGCGACCGCCGGCGCCCTCGATTCATCGATTCCTCGAGCTCGCGTAAAACCAAACACCGACACTTCCTGCCGTGTGCTCACTGAGGCGACTGCATTCGACGCCATTGTCTACCTGAACAGATTCCTGGCGCTAGACGCTCGGACCTTCGTGCGATCTGGCAAGGCGTCGACTTCGTCGAGCAAATTATCTTTGGTACCTAAAGTGTGCGCCAAAAAGATAGGCCACACACTTTTCGTGTGTTTCCTCAAATTGGCGCGTGTTGCATTGTTCAACTCGTCATGGTTTCACCTACCTGGTCCATGATTTCTCTTTCTAACATGTAAGCTTGACGAATATCATTCCACGATAGAGAGTTTCAATATCTGGCAATATGCTGATATATGGGATGAAGAAAAGATAGGCCACAAGTCACAATTTCTCAATTCAGCTTAGAGATCAGTGC